GTTGGTTGGCTGGATGTAACCTGATACCTAGGGGCCCAACGCTCTACACAGTAATATCATATTGGTCATTGATATAATAAAATATACAAATTTTAGTGGTGTGAATTACATGAAGAACGGCTGGGTAGCTGAGTTTTTGTTACGACGCTCACCTAATCAATTATAGGGGGGTTTCGTGGCGTATAGCTCGCATTAGAAAACACCCTAGTTACGAATTCCGAATATATATTCCTTCGCATTTTACTTAACAATTAATTATTCAATTAGGGTCAACAGTAATTTCGAACGCATCAGTCATTTTCTTGTTTGATGCTGGAAATAAATGCATTGTTTCTTTTTTCAAGTCATGGAAATTGAAATGTTGTGCATGTGACGAAATGTATAACTTTTTCTTATACCTTTATTTTTTACAATAAAAGATGTTAATTTGATACATTTTGTTTTCAGACACTAAGATAATGTTATTTTTAAATTACAACTGGCAATACCATTTAACTTGCAACAGTTAGTATCAGTATTGAATAATATTTTAGTAAACTCAAACATATTTGGGAATCTATTTTGTTACATTTGAATCTAAGTAGATAATTATTAGTTACTGAACATTCTGTGCATTTGTAGCTATGAATTTAAATAAGTTATTTAAAATAAAAAATTCCAAAATAAGTAGGCCTATAGTTACAAACATAAAGGCTATTCCATTGTGTTTATTCTATCAGTAAAAATAAAGACACTATTAATAATACTCACAAATGACACACAAAACAATAAACATCAGCACCATTAATGGAAGCTCTCAAATAGCATTAAAAATCTAAATACATCCCAGAGACACGCAAACGGTGAAGACATTCTAGTGATTTAAAAGCTTGAAAGAATGTTTTTAAGTAGCTTATAAAATAAGCATTAAACCTACACCCAGAAAAACGACGAGCAGTCTTGTTTGGAAAGAAAAGATACATTATTTAATCAGTAAAGTGAAAGAGGGTGCAACCAACATAAATCTCTGAGTTTTCACCGCAAACTAGCGGCGAGAGGAGGCATAAATAAGCGATAAATAAACCAGGAAATGCTTAAAACTAAGTTTAAAAACAACTGAATCATTTTCGAGGCATATTAAAGTTAGCAAATGGTTGGTATAGTAGTAAAAGTAGTCGTATAATCTCCAATTAATAAATTATCTTGTAAAAGGTTGTAAAAGGGAAGAGCAAACGTGAGAAAAGCTTAAAAGTACTGTACACAATGTTTTGTGTAATATTTAGATTCAACATTTTAAGATTAACAAAACAAAAATGTTTTTCAATTTTTTTCAACTAACATAATTCAAGACGATACTACCCATAATAAATTAAAGCCAGGGAAAAAATTCCAAAAAAATATTATAGTGTATTCTTGTTATGTTTAGCCATGATATCTGGGTATTTTTGCAGTTTTTGTACTTTTTGAGGTGTGTTTCGTTGGATACAAAGCAAATTATCCATCACCTAAATCAAACATCTCGTCCTTTTAAACCACAAACCATTAAATCTAAGGGTCAACTCCCTGTGAGGGTGCAAGACACGGGGTTGGCGTGTTTCAAGGAGGAACCGGAACCAAGGCTGACCGGAAGCGGAACACAACCGTGTTGATATATTCAGTTTCCGGTACAACCCTTCATCATCAGGGCTAATCAAGGTCCTCATCAATAATAGCCGCATTTCAAAGTATAATGTTGGCAACCATGCACTGCGTATTTCTGTTGCGCAACCAGATACTTGATCGCCCAGGATGAGTCGATGGGTAGGAATCACGCTCTAGGTTATGTTCTTGCTTTAGGAATTATTGTTTGAGGAAGTGTAGATGGAATTATACTCTTGTTTGCATTTATTCTCCTACAGAGTAGATATTTTATGTGTGATGTAGGACTATTCTTTACTTATATTTGCGTTGTAATAATTTCCATACCAGTTTTAACCATATTGTTTGTTAGTCTACTGTTTAGAGGCAGAAGCTGGTCAGGGAGGGAAATGTTCGATCCTCGGACCATCCATAAAATGTTGAGGGGAATTGAATGATTGGACGATTTCATTTAATCGCGTTTAATGAGTTAAGAGTTGAAGATAATCTACGTCAAACTGATACATACTTTCTCCCGTTAGCTTGTACAGTGTGTAAACGGGGTAGCTATGATATTTTTAAAATTACCATAATATTTTAGAGCATTAGGTGTTCCAATGATAAAGGACAGCTTTGTCCATTTTCTTTATTAAAAGCTGAACTTTTCCAAGATCGAACCGGCGATATTGTGTTTGTTAGTTAAGCGCTATACTCAGCCACAATTATTTTAGCTGCTCAGGTACAGTAAAGTTAGGTGATAAAACTGTAGGTACAGTTTTGGTATTGAGTGTTTGACCGAACAAAGTTCAGTTTCCAAAGACTACAGGAATTTGTCTCAATTTGTTACAGTTCTCCGGTTTTGACAGCAAGTCGAATCGGATTAATGCCCTCTCGGGACTGAGTGTTTTGGTCGTAAAACACCAGCTGATTTGTAACCTGTCATCTCCCTCTCTCTCACACCCCCTGATCATCCATATCTCCCTCTCTGTTCCTCTGATTGGTCGGCTAGTCTTGAAGGTGTTGTCAAGAACACTCACGATATTCTGAGTCGTTCATAAAATGTCTTAGGAGAAAAATCAAAAGGGAAAAATCAAATCTGAGGGTTACATCTTCTTACACATCCTACGAGCAGAATGTTAACATTTTGATATTTAGGTAAAATAAAAAATACTATTTGGTCGTTGTAGATGTATTTAAGTTGCTCACACCATCTCACCAACCTCGTCTTCACGATTTGTCGGTTTACCATTCTAATTTTTACGTTCAGAAAAACAAAATAGTGTCGGTATGGTCGTCAAGAATATTGAATACCCCAGTGGTTAAAAACCTAACAGTAGTTATCAAAGCTTATTCTGTGTAGGTAAAATTTTTCTAAATATTTAGTAAACACGCCCTGTTAAGGATGTGTTTGTAAGGCACATATGTTGCTGTTTTTCTATGAATCGAATACTCCTGAAAAATAACTTGTATCAAAGTATTTGAGATCACGGAAAATCTTTACCTTGGTAAAAAATCTTTAGCACCAGGTTACATTTTTGGCTTACATTTTACAAAATGTTTTTGCAATTCCAACACGGTTCTGGTTCAAATACCAATGGTGTAAAAGCTCTTAACTTTGTTGATTTGAAATATATATAATTTTTACACCAAAGAGTGCACCAGAGAGAGCAGAAAGAGTGCATAATATTTTATGCTACCAACACTTCGACTATAGGATCCACATCACCCTCTTTTATCTCCAGCTTGACCCCCCCCCCCCTACACTTGTTTCACCGTCAGTTGGCACTCATCTCTGTGCAAATCGCCATCATCTCGGTGGTCGCCGACACATCAAACACTCTCATTGCATTTAGATAGCTTGTCTTGAGCCTGCCGAGCTTCTTTGATCCAGTGGATCGAACTTTCGGTAATTACAACCGAAAGTGGCAATCGGTTGTTTCTTCTGGCTGTACCTGTACCGACAGTCCTTTGACGAGTTTGAAATAAATCTATTAGCATTTATTATTTTTGAAGAAGCTATTGTAGAAGTATCTTCTTTCTAATATATAAAATTCTCGCGTCACAGTGTTTGTCTGCAAACTCCTCCGGAACGACTTCACCGATCGTTATGAAATTTGGTGTGTAAATTCTGTAGGTATGCGAATCGGACGTAAACTATTTCCCGTTTCGAAATTCTTAAAAGGGCTCCGCCCCAGTGGCTCTGGAGTTTCCCATTATACCTTATGAGAAATGGAATTAATGAATCTTAACAGCTGTTTCAATTAAACAAGTTGGTCTGTTCTATGATGTTCAATAGCATTAAAGTTACAAGGATTACCAACAGGGTGCAGCACTATTATTTCTTTTACATTTTATGACAACAGCTAATTTGCAACCAAAAGGTGAGTGAGCGTAGCGAACGAACTTCAACCTGGAGGCGAGTGAGCGTAGCGAACGAGCTAACCTGAAGGCAAGTGAGCGCAGCGAACGAGCTCCAACCTAAAGGTGAGTGAGCGTAGCGAACGAGCTCCAACCCAAAGGTGAGTGAGCGTAGCGAACGAACTTCAACCAGGACGTGATTGAGCGATGCGAACGAGATCATCTTGAAAATTAAACGTAACGGTACTTTCTTTCCATCGGTCTGTCTTAGGGGAAACCTATAACTTAGGCGATACGAAGTTCGCCGGGTCAGCTAGTATGTTTATAACATCGTAATGTACTCTATTTATTTTAATAAGAGTATTTTGCACTTGGGCATTTCCTTATGCATCTTTATGGTAAAGGTATTACAAGGTTTGTGTAAGATAGGTTTTATGAACAATAAAATACCTCGAATGCTTTTCTGCACATAAAACTCTGTAGCTCAGTATGTATCATATGTGTGGATTTGGTTAAGAATGTTTTAAGGTACGATTCTGTCAGGTTTTTAGGTGTCTTACAGATGTTCAAACTATAATCTCCTTTAGTAAAATGTGATACAGTTAACGGCATGTCGCCCATTTCAGTTGGTTAACACTTTGTAAATAAGAAATATAAAAAAGTGATGACAGCACACTGTCTCAGTGGTTCAATTTAAGTACGTTTTTAATTTATCCACAATAATCTAATTGAATCGCTCATTGACAGTTAATTATTTTCATAGTTGTGTTTTCCTAAAACACTAGGTTCCAGCCCGGGATCGTTTTTCATTTTACTTCAGGCTAGACCTAGGGGTGCGGCATTATCAGTTAGATTCCATCGATCCATCCATTGGTGATTTGACGAGATTTGAACCCGGTACCTCAGGGTCCAAAGTCCCACGCTTTACCTAGACCGGCTTGCTCCCCTAAATCATGCATAGTTTAAAGTACTATGCAATGTTACAACTACAGTTATAAATACACCATGACACAGACATATTAAATGGAAATTTTTTTTTAAAAAGTCTATTGATTATTTTCATCAATAGAGGACGAATTCACTGAGTCTCTGTAGCCGTAGTAGGACGCCTTGACGTCAACGTAGTAACTCCACATGATCCACAATATGTAAAACTCTGCAACTGAACATGGAAGGTACAGTGTTAAAGCGCACACTGAATATTATAGTATGATAAACGTTTTAACGTATTTGTGTAGAATTTGCACATTGTTAACTGTAGTAAACCATGTATTTAACATTGTGGATTACCCAGTGTAAAACTGAACGTAGAAGAAACAAGTGACCAACATGGTATTACATTTATGGGACCTACCAACTAGATAAAAAGTTAATAATTCGCATATGCAATGATAAAAAACAACGAGGAATATAGTATTGCTATACTACTATTTTTTACACATTTACTGTTTTTGTTACTTGAGAAAAATACTTTTTTAAATTTTTTTATAATCCTTATAGCTGAAGATAATCATGAGGGGTTGTCTAAGTTCAGTAACGCCCTTAACCCATTGATGTTCTATGTGAAAAACTTTAAATTAATTACGTAACTAATATATTTGACAAATAACCTATCCTCCTTGTACTGAAATATCGACACCAAAAGGTTGATATATGTCAGTAATAACAAATTTATATTATCACTTGCATTAATTTTCAAGTTGGAGTTGAGAACCTAAAATAAAACATCACTACTACCATGAAGTTAGACTCGTATTTTTTTAATACTTACAACTATATACTCTATTCAAGTTCAATAACAGTTTTGTTGAAATATTTACATTTTCTCAGAACAGTCTGCTGTATACTGCTATCTTATTCAATATAACATATTTATTATCAGAAGCCTCTAAAAAATCAGGCTCTGTGAGGCTACGAGATGATTGTGTCGAAGATATTTTAGCTTATGAAGTATTTTAGAAGCTTACCCATTAAAATGGTTGCCCAAAGTAACTTCCACGAAGGTTCTTCCCTGAAATTAATAATATAATTAAAAATAGTTGTTAAAACAGGGAAGCCTAAAATATAAATGAAACTGAAATGTATCTTTCATTTTGTTGAATCTAATTAATTATTGTTTTATTCTGTTATCCTATAGCTGTTGATAGGATCCTGTAATAAATTATTAACAACAGATGTTTTCTATCAACCATGTGATATTGGCTGACATCAGTAGTCAAAATATTTGCAATAATTGCTATTAGTCCAGTCATAGGTAAAAAAACCCTCTACCTAAAAATAATTCCCTAAACGGGGAAATTTGATATATGTCTAGGTTTTACCCAGTAACAACATATTACAAAGCAACATTCGAGCATGCTGTGCTACGCCAGCCATATTGGAAAATGGCGGCAAATTTTCACTTATTTGACCATATTTCACTAACTGTTGGAAATACAGAAATTATGTTCAAACAAAATTTAATGAACACACAAGAATACATATTTTTAGTGCTTACAACATTTGCCCTATCTAACATCCCAATTTTACATCGACGTTTAACATCATTATAAAATAAGGTTTTTCACAGGTTAAGATTGTACTCAGTAGATTGTGTTTTGTTATTTTATTTCTATTAGTTTATTTAACAGTGTGGTGATAAGCAGTTTCGACTACAACATTTTGCTAGTTTTCAAGCATCCCAAAGACTGTAATACATTTTATTAGACCCTTGAGAAGAAACGTACTATATTAGTACTAAGAATTATCCCTGCTTCGTTGTATACAATTCTTACCTGACAATAGCCATGGACACGTGGTAGGAAAACATAAAAAAGAACCAAATGAAGATGAAAATTTCCAAAATTGCTCCAACGAGAATCACACCGAGGGATTCCTGTAAAAAAACCTCAATGGGTAAAAAATAGATTTGTAATATTTATCCAAGTATATTCGCCTACTAAAGAAAAATCAACGAGAACAAAATTTCCAGTTTTTTCATAATTTTACAATAAAACTTTAAGTGGTTAGACTGGAGAATCGAACATGTGATAGAACCTAGAACCCATTAGTGATTTTAAACTTATATACTAATGAAACATAAAGTTTGTTCATTGCGCATTTGAACATTTTAATTTTGTGTATACTGTGTTTCCCTTGCATGCTGTACTATACATATACATTGATATATTTCAAAATTTGATATATTGCTTTGGACTTAATACAGTTTTTCTATAACTTAACAACTATTCGAAAACAAATTGATGAATGTTTTGCAAGTTATTTTGCCTTTGAATTAACATTTAATCATATTTTAATGCATTTATTTCACCTAGATTTTTTTTCAACTTCTTATATGTACTTACCCAAATGACAGCAACTATCATTACAATCAGCCAGAGTATAAACAACACAACTGTCACCACGAGTAGAACTAGCTCTGTAAAATTAATAATAAAATTCATTGTAAAATATTAAATATTTAATTATCTAAGTAACAGGTATGCATTTTAGTAGATTCTTAGTTAGTAGATTTTTCATGTGATTCATATAGCCTAAATAAGTTAGCGTGTTCTAAAAATTAGATAAATATAGTTTTTTTATGATTTAATAAAAACAAGCTTATTGTAGTAATCATATACAACTAAATGTCAAGTAAAACCTTTGGATATTGAATATTAATTAATAATAGTCAATGGTAGAAGGTAATTTTGAATCTCGCTGTTAAGTTTATTTGTTGTACAACAAGTTGTTTGCATTTTAATGTTTTAGTCCAAAAATATTTCTTTACTAAAAAGTTAAAATAAACATTACCAACAGGTCTTTGGTTGTACAGGTTGTAGCACTCCTCAGGAATCGAATGATATTCACCTGTAAAAATTAGATTAAATATATAACACTATTAAGGACCCAGGCTTTATTATATTTTTTATAAATGTGTATTCTAACGTTAGCATTAGTAGAACCACTTTTATCTGAACACTGTTACTAATAAATACATCGTGAATCATAAATATGTGAATAATACAGTCGACTATTTTTTTTTACGTAAGTTTGTTCAAAAATTTGAAATATGGGAAAATTCGTATTTTGACAGAATATAGCCTAATTCAGGTTTTGAAGTAAAAGAAAAGTATGTACTTACGTTTTTTATCTGAATTGCCCAAAGTAATCAAATCCACTCCTAGGAGAATAATAAGTACCAAAGCTACCTGGAATAATTTATTTTTTTATAAATATATCAATTGATATTTCACAATACTACAAAGTAAGAAAAGACTGGGAACTATCATGCAAATGAATGTCACCTAGTCAATATTGAATTTAAATTCAATTTAGTCATTTAAACATTATAACAATTACTACAGTGAATGCATATTTAAATGATAAATACTAATGACAATTATAATAAATAGGTAAATGGATAGCCACAATTTACATAATTTTAAAATGAGTGTATTTTACAATCTCACCAAAAAGATGACTAATTGGAATCCATCAGTTATTTTATGGAAATCAACAGAATTAACTGAAAAAAACCACAAGTGACACGAAACCAGTATGGGATCCAAAACATTTTAAGTGTTTATTAATAAGATAAGCTTACCCCAGACCAGTAATAGACCCCAAAGAGAGCCCCAAAGAGCCCCAAAGAGATTTCTGCCCCAAAGAGAGAGGAACTGGTAAATAATTCCAATTCGACCTTATTTTAGTGTTAAATAATTTGACGTGATTCTGCAACTAGTTCACTATTGTTGTACAATAACCGAAAATCATTTATTAGCCCTGATAAGATGATAAGCTTTTTAGACATTTAAGATAATGTCTGTATTTATTTATTGTTAAAAGGAAAGAATCCAGGCGCAAGATAGTCAATATGGCTACACACTTGTGCTGCGGGTTTTGCATATGATCAGGCGTCGAATATCCTGTTGTATTGGTTACACTAAATTGATGTGTGATATTATGCTATAAAACATTGCAAAGGAAAAGTCCCATAGTAAGTAACATTTTAATCAAATATAGCAGTGAATAAAATAGAACGACCCAATAACAATTATTTCCTAATTTATATAACAGTTTGTCCTTTTTAAGACAAAGACATTATAAAGAATAGCCTACTATTATTGAGTTTGTTTCTATAGCTACTTATGAATATGTATTTTTACTATGAGTCTAAAATGCTTACAAACATATTAAATTAGTTGAAGAATTTCGAAACTTACCAATCGCAATACAATGATGACTATAACTCCGATTCTCAGCTCCAAAAAGCAACAACATTTTTCTGCTTGTGGAAATTCTATTATCATTTTGAACGATCTTCACTAAAATTTGAACACGAACGGCAAAATCACCATGGTATTTATTTTTAAATGTAGATTTGTTTAACAAATATTAATTTCTACAACAAAATAATGTTCCGCCGCTAATCTATATAAATAATTTATTATAAATAACATTGACTCGTAGTTATAGGACTTAAAATATTCCATCAACAAATGTTGTGTATGGTTTCAAAAACACTCAATTAATGCTTCGCTTCAATTGAATTTCATATTTGTGCATACATTCAGTACAACTTTATGAACTTGTGGCTTATAAGTTTCAAACTTATAGATATACAACCATATAACAAAATGATATACATATACCATAAAACGTTTATGGTCTGAAAGAAATACAGTAGAAACGGTCACATTTTTCGAAAGACTTGTGTTCAGCATAAACTTGGAGATTACATTAGATTTTAGATTAAACACAAATGTATATAAGGCCAAGAAGACTAAATTTCTTGATAAAAGTATGTAAAAAATGGTCCATAAAACTGAATATTTATTGTCTACATACATGTAGTGTTTGGGTTTGTACATTGTAGTGGCATTTTACTTTTTTCACTTTTCTGAATTTTTTTGTTCAGTCATAAGAAGTAAGGAAATGCATTTAACTTTGCCTACTAATTTTCTTCAGGATGACAATTTAACAAAATCAAATATATGTTTAGTTAATTCAATAATAACAATGAATAATAAATTAATAATCTTACACGTACCTACTGTACATTGTACAATGATATCAATAAAAATAAATAAAAATAAAAACAGTAGTTGTACGATTGATTAAATTGCACGATTGTATTTAAATGGACAATTACCATTACCAAATTACCAATTACCATGGAGAGTACATTTTTTTGTTTGACGAACTTTGTGGTTTGCAATTTATTACATTGTTTATCCCGTCACCCCAATAATACAGCTCGACCACAAAGTTAAACCTTGATACTGTAACTGTAAATAAATTTGTTGAGTAAATAATTATTTTTTAGTTGTCTCATCCATAAAACTGTGGACTAAAGGGGTTTGTTTCTTTGCAATGTTTTATAGCATAATATCACACATCATTTTGGTGTAACCAATACAACAGGATATTCGACGCCTGATCATATGCAAAAACCGCAGCACAAGCGTGTAGTCATATTGACTATCTTGCGCCTGGATTCTTTCCTTTATAAATAAATACTGGCATAATCTTGCCTAAAAAGCTAATCATATCAGGTTTAATAAATAAAACGTGCAAATCGTGTTAAAAATGCCGTTTTAAAACTGAAACGCTTGGCAAACCCGTGCGTCAATATTTAAAAAGTGCATTGTGCTGAATAGTTGCCTAAATAGCTCTAGTAGATCAATATAAGAGCTGAGATTAATATTTAGTTAAAATTTGTATTTAATATACACGAAAATAAAAACAAATTTAAATCTACCTTTACACGCATTTGCACATTTTTCCTTTTAACCTAAATCGAAATCCAACGCACCCAAGCGTCTTTTACATTTCTTAAGTGCGAAAAGAAACTTCTTCGTCAAACAGAAATGTAAATAATTCAAAAACGAATTACATCAACGCGTTATACGATACGCCGTCGACTTGTTCAAATTACAGGACCCGTTGCATTAGCATAGTCTAAGAGTATTTTCCTAAGCGAGACTTTGGCGTACTTTTCGTTGCTAAGCCGATATGCATTCATTAACTTCTTTTATCGACCCCTCTTCCTTCAGAGGCTTAACATAGCAAATAATTCGTCTTTTTTCAACCTCCCTTAACTTTTATTTATGTTCATTATGGTCTTGATTGCGAGGAAAGTCAAATAACTTCGGTTTGTTTTGTGTGTTCGTAATTTGGGGGAACACGTGACGACGTTTTTACAGATTTTTGGTTTGCTCCTTGAATAAATATTGACAGTTTTGTTATTTGATTTGTATGGGAAATGGGCAATGTTCACGTTAGTAGAAGTAAAAAAAGTTATTATTTTTAGAGTAAATTGGGGCCCAGCTTCGCTCTGCTCAGACTTTGACATTTAGTGACCATACAACCTCAGGTTTACCTAGCATCTTGCACATAATCTTTAAACCTGTTTTTATCTTGGTAGCTACGACAAGAATTATGTGAGTTGTATATTTATTTTTGTTAATCCCAGATAACATTATTAGTATAGCTTAGTTTTCTTGTGATTATTCTTATCATACCGAAGTAGATCAATCATAGAGATTATATTTTCGAATGTTACACTTCGGGATTATTTCCATTTTTAATGTTCATATCAACGACTATGTAATCTTCCAACACTGTGTATTGTGTGTAGTAGTATAGTTTAATTCCATTTATCTTAATAAGCCATGGCTAAGTTGTTTGTGTTTAAGAATTAAAAAAAAATATATGTTACTACTTTTTCAAATTATAATTTAGTGTTACAGCTAGATTATCGTAAAATATCATTTTTTGGACACACGTGAAAGTAAAATTAACACAAAAAGGTAGTTGAGTAATGGAAGGTGGAATTAAATTATTAGATTGGTTACTAATATAGGTACGTTGTCATTTTTTGTTTGCATCATTGACCAAAATCACACTGTTGAGAGAAAAAATTTTGCGATGTAACTTAATACATCCAAACACCATATAATTGGGGTCCATATAATTGGAACTGGTAAAAGTAAACATAAAAAAATAGTTATTGAAAACTATTAAAATTGATTATGCAAACATTTACTCAAAACCTAAACGCAATAATATACTAAGTAGTCATCTAAATATCCAAACAAAACTCCATAACATGTTTTTTTATTCAAACTTGAATCGTAGCTTACAATTTTCTATAGTAAAAATGTGTCTTCGCAAAATTTATTTTCTCACATGATTAACATTGTTGAAATGTCTACAACGTTCACAATCTTATATTAAAAATAATACACCTCGTCCATATATTTTAGTAAGTGGTCCACTGGTGGGGGGGGGCTCAAGACGCAGGTCAGTCCAGCCCCCCGGCCGGGATAGGACCCCCCCTCGTACCCCCCTGTGAGGAGGATCCTCGCAGACCACCCCTTCCTACCAAGGTACTCCCAAGGCTCGATATCATGGCTGACTTGATTATCTCAAGAAAAATGTTCCGAGATAAAACTTACCTCCGGGTTTATGGGTGTAATCTGGTTCCAACTTAATTATACACAATGTTTACCTTTGACAGTTATTTGCTTGACAGTGTAAAACATTAAATAATAGAGATTGTTGAAAAATGTGTGTTGTGCTTTTGTATTCTTGCCATGAAAATGTTTGATAGTTTAATTTGTAAACTTTAAGTAAACTATTGTTGACTTTAGTCAAAGGATGATTTTTACACCTTTAGTTATTAGGGATATCGGACAATATTCTTGAGATAATTATATAAAGGGTATACAGAACAATTCGGAACTCAGTAAAATGGTTAAACCCGAGTTTATCAAACACATTTTAATAAAAGGGTGTAGATTTTTTTACTCTTAAAGGCATAACCCTTATAATATACCTTTAAATTGATCTCTGCGTGTTTTATAGAAATCTATCCAGTACGATTAAGGTTTTCAGTTTTAAAAATAAAATCGTGACTTGAAATGGATAGACATATATTATGTACAAATTTAATTTTTTTTTTACGGTAAAATGCTAAATATCCTAATAACTACTATTCATAAACAATGTTCAGCATAAGTTAACAGCCTAAATTGTTCATGGCAAACGTGGAAGTTTAAATAGTCAATTAATTAGTTCAGTATTGATTCATTTGCAGTATACAAAACTTACTCTATTATAATTGAATCTACAAAATGCTTAATTTTCAAAAGTTTGTCAACTCGAGTATCAAAAATTCTTCGATTTGGAAATTAGTTAAACCGTTAAACGCGACAAACTGTTTATAATCGACGGATCAAAATAACATTTTAAAAAATCTGTGAAAGACCTGTAACATAAAACAAAATAACTAAATGGATAGCTAATTCATGGCACTAACTAAACCATTACGGCGAGTTTATTTAAAGGAATGAGCTTAAATGTTAATCGGTACAAAACACGCAGTTAAAGCTATTTAAATGCTAAACAAATGTCCGCGCTTGAAAGAGTCGAAATTGGTTCTTGGACATCCAATTCGGTTTGTAGCTAGATTGGGGTAATACTGATGGTAAAAGATATCTCTGTTAAACATTTGTCCTTATAATATGTTATAAATCAACAGACGCTGGCCCAATAGATTATAATTTTTTTAAGTAAACGAAAGCATGAACAATCAATATTTAAATTTTACCCACTGTATTCTTATTTACTTTCTGGCGTAAGTATATTTTAACGTTGTCAAAAATTGTATCTGTTTTCTTTGTATGAGCTCGAATTTTCTTGAGCAACTCAAATAAGTAGAATGATATCAGTTTGAGTTAGTTCCTTACTTATAAAAAAACATAGTTGTAGTGAAAAAAACGTTACATAAAACTTAACATAGCCTGAAAAAAAACTATCGCCTTTTCTCCTGCTGGTGTTTGATTTTATTTTATTTCAACCTCAAATTTAAAAAAAAAGCGTAAAGGTTTGAAACTTCCACATTACATTTAAATTTGTGCAAAAATACTTTTACTTTATCACTTCAGAGACGAAATTTGCTATAACATAATTTCCTCTACTTATCTTTCAAATTTTGGCAGCATTTTGCCTACCAAGATCACAAAAACCCCTGGTAAAAAAACTTTCTTCTCTACGAATATTGAACCAACACGTACAGTACTTTATGTGATGTAAATACATTAAAGGCAAGGCGTCTTGCAAAATATAACAAAGAATTTACTATTTAATGAGAAAATTTATGTTTGTAACTTAGTTTAAAAACGTTGCATTTTTAAAACGCTTTTTAATTCAACACGAATCAAGAACCTAAAATTAAACTTTTCTTTAGTAAAAAATGCCAGTGTTAAATAAGAAATTAACTAAGTATATAATAGAATATTAGGCA